ATTAAAAAAATAAATATTTAAAGAAAAAGTAATTTTACAAAATAAATAAGTCTACCTATAAAAAATCATATATACAAATAATAGTTAATAGTTTATTAAATCAATAAATAATTAAAATGTTTTTTTCCATAATTAATTTAATTCAAGATTTTTTGGTATACAAAAATGCTTGTGATATATATTTTACACTGAAAAAAATATTTAATAAAAAAAGTCACTTTTCTTACGTTCCATAAATTTATCAAAGACGTCACTTAGAGACAACCAACTGAAATTTATTGCATATTAAATAGCACATTATGCATATATATATACCTACATTTTCGATAACATAGTCGACCAACAGGGAGAAAGACAACCAACAAAATGCGTTCCAAATTCAATTTGTGTTGTTACGGTTTTTGCATTTTCGCTTATTTTTCTCGTTGCCCCCCAAATTTTTGGGTCACTGGAGATTAAATGATGCAGCAACGACAACAACAACACGCTTTTAGCTTAGCTTTAACATGTTAAAATTACAAAATCGCAAGTTGTCACATATACACGTTCCTATTCGAGCGACTGTCAAAAAGCTGTAAGGAGAAAGGAAAAAAAAACTTTTAGAATATGTGACCGAAACTGTGACAAGTAAATGACAACAAATAGAGTGAGACCATTTTTCACTTGCCAAAAGTGCATAAAATTTCGATAGCCGAGAGAATGCTGAAGAAAAATACGACGCATATAATATGTACAAGTATAAGGGCATATCATATATATTATAAATGTATATGGGTTTCTTATGTACACTGTAATTTATAAACCCACCAGTACTGCTTGGTGTTCAACTTAGCCTGGGGACAAAAGCCAAATTTCTAAAACTTCAAATGTTAATTTCATAAATGAGGTTTAAAGCTTGAGAGAAGAATTGGCGGATGGCATCTCTGATGGAACTCTTTTTCGGGCTACCTAACCATTGCAGTATTTTCTATGTGTGTACACTTGTAATCGTGGTTGCTGCAAAACAAATCGGATTCAGCTTTAAATTTAAGAATATCAGCAATAAAAGCACTAGTTTCGCCTACCCTAAATCCAAAGTTAGTGCTGGATTGTTACCGATTTCTACAAGAACATACTGTCTCTCTCCCCCGGTCACAAGAGCATCAAGGGAAACTGTAAGACTTGCTGGGCGAGGTACGACACAATTTTCAGGTTTGAGATTTTGGCATTTGAAAGCGTGTAATTTGGCATTCTGCACACATATAAAGAATTACATATTAGTGGTGAAACTTACTGAAATCGGGGGACTATAATATATAGCCCCCATACGACCGATTTGTTCAGATATGAGGTATTCGGTAAAAAATCTGATTAAAGCCATCTAAAGGTTGATATTAGGGTCGGTGTGTGACCAACATCGAAAAATTATAAAAAATTATTTAAATAAAAAATTAACTTAAACGCCAATTTTATATATGTACGTACAAATAGTTGGGACTGATATTTGATTTAATTATAATTAATTAGTAAAAAAATTTAATATAATTTTCCTACATTCTGTTTCTCTTTTCTTAATTATTATTATATTATTTAACTTAACTTGCTTTCGGTTTTATATTATTTTTTACTTTTATTTAATTTTATTATTCTTAGTTAATATTACATAATCTCTTTTTCCTTTGTTTCACTTTATTTTAATTTTTTGTTTAATTTATTTTATTTTAACTTTATTTTATTTTTTTAATTTAATTTAATTTTTTTAAATCAATTTAATTTAATTTTACATTTATTCAGTTTAATTTTGTATTATATTACTTTATTTTTTGTATGTTAATTTAATTTGGTTTTTATATTTATTTTTATTTAATTTCATATTATATTTTATTATTTTATTTTTGATTTTGCTTTACTTTAATTTATTGCTAAATTCTACCAACTATCGCACAATTGTTTGTCGTTCGTACATTCAGACGATATCCTGCACATTCAGATGATATCCTGCCTACGTGTAAGCATTTTCTGCTGGTCGACAGGTCGTACACGCAACATTAATCAGAGCAACTACTAATTAAATAGTAGCCCGTTTGCTGCTATGGTAGGACAAGAGCGTGTAGATAAATGCTTGTTTATGCATTAACGTGGCTACACATGCAAAAAAGTTTTTCCATAAGGATGCAAATAATTGCAATACACGATTGGATACTTCAAGCGTGACAAGTTCTGTCGACTCAGTTGTGCCGCTTTTTATAAATATATTTGATGATAGTACAAATGCTGTGTTGCATCCAACATGAGAATTGTACTTCGCTGCATATTTATCTAGGTTTACATATATTCCCTTCCAGCTATTGATTTAAAACAGTGTAATATTGTACTGCATTTATTTTTGCTGCAAACGCGTAACTGTCAGCCACATCCCCAGCTTGCCTGTCACTACAACTACAATATGACCACAATTATACATATATGTAATCACTGTTGGTATCAACAATGTCTTTCTTGCTTTGTTTCATGTACTTTTCCCCTCTGGCTTTGGCTCGTTAAGTGCTTAGTGGCTAAAATTAATCCCTAATGATTTGTTCTATATTTTCTGCGCTCCACAGAGAAGTGCTCATTAGTATCTAGTAAAATCCCTGTGATCGGCGCATAGTAAAATGGTACAAGAGAAGGGAAAAAAGTAGAGCTCTTGCTGTGAATTGTTAATGCAAGAATAATTACAAATAATGAAATGTGATTACTTGAATGCAAGCAATTGTGCAAATAACAGAGATGAGAAACTGCGCTGAGCGTAGTTTGGAGTAAGAAGTGCACGGTAAACAGAAATTTAATCATTTTTTCTATTATTTCCCTATTAGAAACCTTCCTTAGTGGTTAAGTAATAAAAATAAAAAGTTAGAAATGTTATATTAATTAATAGTTATTGATATTGTATTGAATATTGAAATTGACAGAAAAACGTTGCCTACATTCAGGCATGTCATAGCAAAGACACATACCCTATTCATTAATATTCCAGAATTTTTTTCAATGATTTGAAGGACCAAAAAATATAACTTCCTACTATGGATTGAATAAACAAGCTCGATGTAGTTTCTAAGAATATAGTTAAATATGAAATCGCCATTACTGTGGTTCAATATTGTCTCTTAATAATATATTTCCTCACCTTTTTTTTAGTACGATTTATAACTTTTTATATTTGTTCAATTCGCATGGAAAACCTTTGATTGAAAATAAATATAGTGCATGTGTTGAGTGCGCTTGCTGGCGCCACATAGTCAACTGACCGATTGCCCAAACGACCGGAGAACCGACAAAAAATATTCAATTACATTTTCGTTTTAATTTTTCATTTAAAGTTTTTGGATACAATTATTTTTTTTACACTTCATATTTTCGGCTTAAATTTTTTATGTAATATTGACACTGTGATTGAGTAAAGAGAAAAAAAACAGAAAATTGGCTGTGATATTGAATGTTGTAGTCCTACTATTCTGAGTGGGGTGAAGAGAAAGCTTCAGTATGAGCTTTTGGCCAATAATGAATATTTTCCCTTTTACAAAAAATCGCACATTTGTTTGCTCCGTTTAGTTGAAAAAAGTATTTTTTCGAAAAAATACCATATATTGCTCGTGGTGCACATGTATGGATACCCACCAAAATTCATATGTACATACTTCCAAACATCAATTCATCAATTAGGAAAGATTGTTGATTTGTTAGTTTTCTGTGATGGATATTTAATTGTGAATTTTATTTCGTGTTCAATCGAAAACAGAGTTTCAAATATTTGTTTTTGTACATATATTTTTTTGTATGTACATTACATATATTATATATGTCTATTCTCTAAAAATATATCTGTTTCAAAATACAAATATCTCTTTAGCCGATCCTTTGAACTATTTTAACTTTTTTGCGGATGAAGTATACAAGTTGGTGGAGAAAATATTCCACACAAACTATCATTGTATCTATACACGTATTATCATTACCTTTATTTTCGTTTTTGCTATGCATTTGCAGCGGCAACATAATAAATATTAAATCAGCTTACTGTAATTTTATTTAAGCGCTAGTAGCAAGGAGGTACGGATTTCGTTTTCTCTTTCTTTTTATTATTTCAGTCGGTTATGGTGAAATCCTCAGAAAATATTCAAAGTAAAATGTTTGAAATGCTCTTATGGTTATTTTCCAATTTGTTCGCATTTTTGTTGCTCCGTAATCTCAATAAAAAAAACTAAAACTGGCACACAAATCTTAATCTTAAACTGCATTTTCATCACTTTTTACGTTCACTTTAAGAAAAAATATATTTTCTTCCTATCTTTTACACCCATTTTGTGTGCTATTCCCAAGTTTCAAGTTTTTCCTAAGACAATAAAAATAAATTCCACTTATTTCCAGGCCAACATTTGCATTTTAATGTCAAGTCTATTTATTTGCTGACATTAATTTAAACAGCCTAAAACTGGTCATTGATTGTGCCATTAAATTCCCTACCTCGACACAAATAAAAAATAGAAACCTGGCAGAGACGGTTTGTAAAACTAAAATATTTTTCCGTGGTCGTAAAGCACATTGTCTGAATACTGAGAATATTGTTGCTGCGGGCCAAAGTGTGAAAGAAAGCCTTTGTCCATTCCTCGTCACCCTCTGAAATTGGGTATTCTACAAACGCCATAAGGCTTAAGACTTATAAAGTTCAGCTTAGACAAAAACTCAAGCCGGCTGATCATCAACCGTATCGTACCTTTGCTTATTGGATTCCTGAAATACATGAAGATGATGAGGAATTTCATCTACAAATTATTTTGACTGATGGGGCTCATTTTCAAATGGATGGCTATGACAGTAATCAGAACTATCGCATCTGAGGCTCGGAAAACCCAAAATTTTTTGTTGGAAACTCGACGTGTAACTGTTTGATACGGCTTATAGTCCGACTAAAACTTACGGTAAATGAATTGCGCTATCGACAAATGGTTAATGTTTTTATTTTATAATTTGCTTCAGCGCTTCATGCCAATCGAGCAACGAAACCGGACCAGGTTATGTTTCGATTGGGTGATCGCAATCGGGCACCTGGATCTTGTGATTTAACACCTTGCGTCTTTTTGCTTTGGAACCACATAAAAGATAAAGTTTACGCCAACAGGCCAACGTTGTTTCAGAAAGCAGCCACTTTGCGATTGGGTGAAGGATTGTTTTATAAAGGTTGTACTGTCCTGCAAGCGTAGCCTTGGCAGCCATTTGGCTGGTATTGTTTATTTACTTTGAAAAACCTGCCATTTTTATTTAAATGCCAAAATCGCTAATTGGAAGACTCTTTATTTTATTAAATTTTTTAATTTACAACTAGCTGAATTTATTTTTTTAATTTTTGTTAATTTTATTTTATTATATTTTGCTTTCTGTTGTTTTATTTAATTTCCTATTATATTTGTTTTTTTTTTTTAATTTCTTCATTAATTTGTTTTTAATTTTATTTGGTTAATTCCCAACGCAATAAATGAAATGATCCACCTGCACCATATCCGATTTCTCACCCGGAGCTCACACGAGCCAATAAATAAAAATAAAATTAAATTTTATATTGGTTGAATTAATTTAATATTTTTGGGTTCTCGGTGGTGGTGGTTAGCATTGCGTACTGAACGCTCGGGTTTAAATCCCGGTGTCACCAACATCCAAAAGTTAATAAAAATTAATTTAAATAAAAATTAAGTTAAATTTTCTAATTGCAGTGGCCTTCGGCAAGGAATGTCCACCCCTCCGAGTGTAATTCAGACCTGAAATAAAGTTTCTCATAAAAAACTATCAGCTGTTCGGAGGTGGCTTAGTAAAAATTGCAGATCCCTCCATTTGTTGGAAAAAAATCAAGACGAAAAACTACAAATTGGTGGAGGAGCTCGGCCGAAAAATCACTTCATCGGTTACAAATCCCAATTATATATTATTTTTTTTTGCTTATTTGTTTTTTTTTTAACTTTATTTTTTTTTATTAATTTTTTATTTTAATTATTTACTTTTTAATTTTTTTTTTTTAAATTTTATTCAACTTAATTTTTGTTTCATTTATTTTAATTTATATTATTTTTTGATTTTTTTTATATTTTCATTTGAGAAGTTTAATTTAATCTTGTTTTAATTTATTTTGTTTGAATGAATTTTATTTTAATTTATGCTATTTTATTTTTTAGTTGTACTTTGTTTTAATTTAATTTGGTTTTTTTATTTTATAACAGCTAATTTTTTTTATTTTTTATCATTATTATTATTTTATTTTATATAAGTTGATTTTATTTTTATAAATTTTTGTAAAATATTTGCTTCCATATTTGAATTTAATTAATTTTTTATATACTTTGTTGTTTCGCTTTACTCATTAATTTTATTTTCGTTTTTTTCAGTGTTTTTAAGTTATTCATTTTATGTTTTAATTTGCCTTTATTTTATATTTAAATTAGTTTGATTTCTTTTAATAATTTATTTTTAAATTTGTTCTAAAAAATATTATAAGGCGCAAAACAAACAATGCCCGGTCATTTGAACTATTGCAAAGTGTCATTTATACAAATATATTATATTATACTATATCATGTTTAATAGATTTTAAATTTTTTATATTTAATTGTATCCTATTTTTTGTTTTGCTTATAATTGCATCTAAGCATTAGTTTGAGAACAGTTGCTTGATGTTAACAAATCCTAGTAAAGAGCACAAGCTTTAAACAACAAAATAGTGTGAGAGAGAGCTAGAGTATAGCTGATAAACAAACAACTGATTAAACTCGTCAATTTTGTTAAGCAATGTAATGCACTTATAAGTACAAAGTTACACACACATACAAATTCTAAAATGCTTTCATTTCGCAAATAATGTTTTCTGGCTGTGTTAGTTAGTGCCTTAACACATTAACAGCATTATTTCGTAAATTCGTATGTGCTAATAGTGCTGCAGAGTTGCTGTTGTTGCTTTTAGCGACAACTAAGTCACCGCCTGTAGTTGTAACGGCCTAATTAATTTAACACCTGTTGCGGTAGAAAAGCTGTGCTGGAAATTTATAAAGTGATGGAGGTGGCGGAGGCTGTGGGCGATTGTTGTTGGTAATTATAAAGTGTTGCGCGTGTTTGTTTGTGTTAATGACAATATTAGTTCTTTAATTTTGTTTTTGTTTTTGCTCAGTGTTGTTGATGAGGTTACTACTGCTCCACTTAATAGCTGCACTGTGTACCACTAATGGACTAACCAAAAAAAAAATTATGCGCACACATACAAAAGGTTCTCTATGCAGGGAAAAATAGTATAAAATTGTGTTTAAGTTCATATATTTTTCGTTTGTGTTGTGAGTTGGGTTTCGTAATGTTAGTTATTCAATATAAAGTTGTTTGATATGATGTTTGCTGGTAGTAAAAGCTATTGAAAAAATTTATTCCTTTAAGATGAATATATTTCATTGCAAGATTTATTTTAAATTATATTTGAAAATTCTCATAATATAGATTTTAGAGAAGCATTGTTATAGTAATTGATTTATTTTTTTTTCCGAATTTCCTCATACATGTTGCATCCGAAAAATCATTTTATTCAGAATTTAAAAAAAGAATCCCTTCTCGTGCAGCCCCCCTGTGGCGACACAAATTGCATTTTATGTTGGTGCGTGAAAATTCATGAATATAAAACGAAAAAAATTATTATATGAAATTAAAAAAAAAATTCTTTCACTTATTATTGGGCTGCCCAAAAAGTAATTACGGATTTTTTAAAAGAAAGTAAATGTTATGTAATGTAAGTAAATATAATTTAATTTAATTTAATTTTTTCTATTTTGTCTTAATTTAATTCAGTTTTTAATTTAATTTTTAAATTTAAATTAATTTAGTTTTTATTTTTTTCACACTATATATATATATATATATATATACCGCTGGAACGATTTTCCGAACTTCTTCTCCAATTTGTGGGCTTGCGTCTAAATGTTTTTTCAGCCAATGGAGGGACCTACAATTTATACTAAGCCGCCTCCGAACGGCCTTCCCTGAGCCCTTAACTTATGTACTCATCATTGAATTATAGTTGGCCTTATTTTGAAAATTTGGCGAGCAAAGAAAAAAGAAAATATATAAATATTGAATAAAATAGAAAAAAAGTGCATTTATTTGCGAATGAATAGAAAAACTTGTGTGAAGTGCAGCGTGCTCAATTTGACAAAAAAAAAAAATATTTTTCTTCGCAAAAATAACAGAATGAAATAATTAACAGCTTTTACCTTCCTCTTTCATATGCAATAACATACATTTTCTCATTTTTCATTAATGCACCACAGGAGCTCGATTTTCTCTCACCAACTTAATCCGCTTTGAGGTTTTCCAGAGAACTTTTGTGAATTTCATTTCATCACCTCAATAAATTTTTGTTATGCATTCCAATTTAAATGCGTGTTTTTATGATTCCCAAACACAAACACGCACACACATATATATACATATATTTGTATATATATGCAAGAGTCGCTAACGTTTGTATACAATCTCAACTGCCAATGAGTGTGCATTGCGAACCTTCCCTTGGGTCAAAAATGATTAAAATGCAACACGTGACAAAAGGCCGAATGACAGACAACAACACGCATATTCAGCTGAACTATATATTTATATGTAAATAAGTAGGCCTGCATCATGCAGCTGCTGTCATAACCAGCCACAAAGTTTGTTGTTGTTTTATCTTGACTCAACACGCGCGTCAATTAAGCGGCCAATCAGCCGTGGCAGCTGTATTTGTGGCCAACAGGGCATGTTGATGATGTGATAGAGTGCGTATCTACATACATATTATACATATGTATATATATAGCAAAGTAGTTTGTAAGTATGTATGAGTATATGCAGGTATAAATATTTGGTTTGTAAATGTAATGATAAAACTGCAAATATTTGAAAAAGTCCCAGTATATTGTTGGTTCGTAAAAAATTATTAACCAAAAAAAAAAAAAGAAAAATATTAAATGTGTTAAATAAAACTCCGTAGACTTGTTTAAAGGCAAAAAGTTTGCTTGAGGTTTATTTTAACTCAAAAGTTAGTAAAAAGCTTCCCATTCTTTAATTTGGTCCCAAAATAGTATTAAAAACTTCAGAAATACTTCATATCCGCATAGCATAGCATTTATAAATATGTAAAGGGTGATTTTTTTTTAGCTATTATCTCTTTGCAGCACCAGTTTAAACAGCTGACGTACGGTTCGTGTTTTATATCACTGTCAAACATCTTCAGTTTGATCTATAATTTAACCATGAATCGTCTTACAAACGAACAGCGCTTGCAAATTATTGAATTTTATTATCAAAAGATAGCACGCCTTTGTTAAGAAAGTTCACCGCGCGCTTCTTCCATTTTATGATCAGTTTAATCGACACACTGAAGCGACTATTCGGGCTGTTGTGACTAAATTTCGCACCAATTTTACAATGTTGTACATTAAACCACCAACACGCTTACGTAGAGTGCGAACTGAAGAAAATATCGCAGCTGTATCGGACAGTGTTATTGATGACCATCAATTATCGATTCGTCGCCGTTATCGACAACGTGGAAAATTTTGCGGAAGGATGTAAGTGTGAAGCCTTTCAAAATACAGCTAGTGCAAGATTTGAGGCCGAAAGACCTACCACAATGCAGAATTTTTTGTAAATGGGCTCTTGGAAAGTTAGCCGAAGATTCACTTTTTTATCCAAAAATTATGTTCAGCGCAGGAGCGCATTTTTGACTTAATGGGTGAGTAAATAAGCAGCCAGAAGCATTGCAAGAGCTACCAATGTATCCAGAAAAAGTCACAGTTTGGTGCGGTTTATGGGCTGGTGGCATCATTGGACTGTACTTCTTCAAAGATGTTGCGAATCGTAACGTAACTGTGATTGGTGAGCGCTACCGGGAGATGATATTAAATTTTTTTTTTGCCAAAAAAAAAAAAAATGTTATGTGGTTTCAACAAGAGATGTCAAACAGCACGGATAACAATGGACTTATTTATATGGACCATTCATATCATACTATCGATTCAAATAAAGGTTTCACGAATTTTTCTGAATTTTATTATATTTTTTGAAAAAATTTCTAATAGCTTTTAAAAAATCACCCTTTATATCTACAAATAAAATTTGATATGTACATCTCTCGTAATAACAACTACAATACATATATATTATCTTTCCTCGCGTTCTACTTCACTCAGTCAATTTATTTATCAATGGCCTAGTAAGGGAATTGAAAATAAGCGAGTAAAATTAATTGTTTGCGTCTACATAAATTTCGTAGATAACATTTTATTTATTATTTTGAAAAATTATATGAGTCAAGCGAGTTTATGACATATTTTATATTTATTTTCGTTGTTAAGAAATAAACTGAAAATAATCTTCCCATAAAAAATCAAAAAAAATTAATTAAAAATTAAAAAGTTCAACCAACAATAATAAAGACCTCCGATCAGACTAGATAACGCTTTTTCTTGAATATTTTGCGGCTTCAAAAATAACACAAATAAATTTCATTGGCAGCATTTTACTATGTGAAACATAACATTATCCAAATGATCGCCTTTCAGCACATATTGGGCGGTATCTCAGTCATTACTTGAGGAATGTTGGTTTACAAGTGCTCACGAGTAAAAGATTTATGCCCGTAAGCTCGGTATTTTGTGTAGTCCCACGCTGTCAAAACGCACGATCTCCTTGGCCAATTGACATCGCTATGATGAGAGATTTCGCGGCCAAGAAAATTCTCTCGCAAAAAATTCATATTCGCTCTTGTTAGCATTGTATCTTGTTGAAACCACATATGGTCCAAGTCGTGTTCTTCAATGGCAGGCCAACAATGTTTGTTATCAAATGACCACAATGCTCCGAATTGGCAGTGACCTTCTCTCTGTTGTCGTTTTCAAAAAAGTAAGGTATCTCCGGACCAGGAAGCACAACCGAAAGTAAGTTGTTTTAGATGTAAGAGCCTTCCTTAAATTATTTGAAAATTTTCGCAGTTCCAAATGAGAAAATTTTGCTTTTTTACGAATACCTCGAGTGAGCAGTGTGGCTGAAGAAAGTTCTGTATGCAAAATCGGATTCCACTGATTGTTGTTCAAGCACCCCATGTATATACAGAGTTGTGAACAGTCAGTGTAAGTCCCAGTGGAAAGTAGAGCGTATTGCGATGAAAGGAAGCCTCTTGAAATCGTCAAGAAATATACACTTTGAGTAGCGATATTTGAGGTGGAACGAACACGGCGATAATGCACAGGCTTTATATTCTCTGTTTTACTAATATCTTGAGCGGGTGAACAAAATGTACTTCAATCCCCTCTTTTAAGGCCCAAACGTGAACATATCTATCGTCAGCCCCGATTTCGTTGTAGAGACATCGGGGTGGCTACTCATTCGCAAATTGAAAGTTCCGAGAAGAAAAATAATCGTAGTGAATTATCAGGTTGAAAGTTTGTATTGAAATCTTTACTGTGTAGTTTGTATAGCTGCTTGTGAGCTATCTGAGTGTTTTGTATTTTTTTCCTCTGTATTTTCTTGATATCTTTTCTTATGGTAAGCAGAACCATCTTGCGCATTCTCAGTTCATTATTGGATATATAACTATACACATTAGGAAGTTAAACATTTTATATTTCTTTTTTTATTAGTCTACTTTTGGTACAGTCATACCTATGCGCACTCCTAATTTTACAATCCAAACAAAATAAATTTTTTTTTAATTTTTTTAAAAAAAATGTTGAAGATCAATTTTTTTCGTATTTTCTTAACTAACGCAACAAAAAACGATATAGGTTTTCGATGAAAAAAACTACTTCTTGGTATAGTGACTTAAAATTAATCACTAAAAAGTGTTACTTGTTAAATAAGAAATACCTATATATATACTTGTCAATAAATAAATTTATATATATGTATGTATGTGTGTAACTGCTTGCAGTCGAACTCATGTTCAAGTTGTCACAGGCATTTCATTCAAAATGGAATAAATTAATTCCTTATTGCATGAACCAGATAACGAAGCATACTGTTTACTACAAGTTTCTCTGCTTTTATGTACAGCAGTACTCGTATGTATGTAAGTGTATAAGTTAATTTACGAATTTATATGTAAATAAATCGGTTCAACTACTGTAAGTGCTGGAAGTAATTTGTTGTCGGCCAAGACATGCAAACAAGTGTCATTTAAGCGTGCTTCCCTGTCGGTCTGTCTGCCTGCAAGCCCACATTGGTAGCTTCTTTTATGGAAATCGATTTTGTAATTTGTCAATTAAAATATAGGCGAACAGGAGAAACGATTTTATGTACTACATATAAATATCATGGTAATTAAAGCAGAATGGATACATAAATTTGTATATTAATGTTTACCGAAAAATTAAGCAAGTCTGAAGACGAAAAAGACGATTTTTGACAATGCGGACATTCAAGTTAACCAAGTTGTCAATTTTGAATGAAAAATATAAGTCTACACAGAATACATTTTTCCTCAATGAGATTTTTATGGTAAATTTGGCATTTTTAAGGGATTAGAAATGTGTTCTTTAAGTCGCCAATCGTCATGTTATCTTTTTTCTATCTGCTTAATGTCTTTTTGGAAAATCCTTCAGCGTCCATCTATGGCAATGGAGAAAATCTTATTAGGCAATCTAAAGCTAATCTACTAGTAATAATTCCCTGTGCCATTAGTATGTTGTTCGGGTTTTATTTAATGGTATAAATATTAATTTTTGAAATCTCCAAATATAAACTACCCTTCTTTTTGATGCTCCGTCATGGTTCCTAATTTTGAAATTACTAAAATCTCTCGATTACCTGATACAACGATAACACTTTCCTTCACCTTTATCACTGAGAGAAGACAAATATTTCAAACGATTTCTATTGCTTGCAAGTGAGTTTGAAAATCAATTATTAATATACGATTTTTGTGAAGAGCTTAACGAGCAGGTACCAAAATGGCAAATCGGTTGCTGCTTTCGCTAACCTAAATCTTACTCGGAAGTCAACAATTTTAAGTTCACTGGTTTGTTCGTTCTCTACTTTCTACCCCATTTCCAAAAAAAAAGAAATCAGATTGTTGCTCGAACAACACTAAAAAAACAGCAGAGAATCAGCGCAGAATCAGTTTTAAGCTTTTCTTGTTTTTGAGCTAGACAGAGCGTCCGATAGAATTGAAAGCCTAAACTACCGTTGTGAAGTAGAATTGCTTTAAGTCTACTTTTTGAAAAAGGTATAAAAATACACGAAAGCTCATCATTCTGGCCAAAGTAGTAAGGAAACTACTGCTCTAAACCAGCAGATAGGCAAAAGTAAGTTCTTGCTTTTGATCCCTGAGATGTGTTGATGTCAGCTTAGTGAAGTGTTTCCAGAGGAACTTGTGTCGCGCACAGAGGTAGTATTCAACTTGTTCTTTCTCTTTTTTTGTCCCAGTAGCTACGGCAAAAATCGTTAGTGATAGCCCATTCTTTACACTTTTTATTTGGTGTTGTTATATTGTACTATATAGATGCCATGGTAGCTTTAGCAACCACTCCACGGCTTCCATAATTGCAAAATGTTCTGCTTGAAAAACGCTGCAGTTGTCTGGTGACCTCAAGTTTATATTTATTGAGGGCATCGTATATTGGATTCCACAACCTACTTTTTTATAGACCTATGAAACTTCTGTTAATATGGCTATGGCACCCTAACCGAGGGAGTTTATCTCTTCCCATTAGTATCTGTTTCCTCATTTCTGACAGATATAACATTTTAGCGTATCCCACTCAGCAAATCCTTCCAAGTTACGTTGCATTTAATCTGATTTACTGTACAGTTTCAGAGGAACGTAGTTGAAGAGATTAAGCAGTAAATTTTAAGGATTCCACGTCCGTAATCTTTTCATGAGGATCTCTGCCGACGCTTGAGTTCTCTTATGTTTCCTCCTAAAAATCAATTTATTCGAGTGACGGTCATCATGCGGCGACAAGGTAGAATAAGACTGGTGTGTAAATCCAACACACAATATTCGGTTTTAGATCCCATCCTTTCCCTATCGCTATTCATACTACTCATAGTCTTCCTTGACTATGTTCCGGCTGCTGCTGATGAGTTTGCTTCCTAAGATTATCCCAAGGTTAGACTTCGTTAGAGAGGGTGATCCACTAGCCCTTTAGTATAGGTGGTTTAAAAGGAGGCAGTTTGCACCTTTCATTAAGTAGAAGTATTTAATTTTTATCTCGGTTGACGTCCAGCATGGTATATTTGCATTTTGTAGCACATCGCTTAAAGTTTGTGGCTAAATTACCTGTCGGTGCTAGCACAATGTCGTCAGTGCTGTGGTGCCTCTTCGGGAAGTTGTTTGGGTAGATTTAGGCTTATGTAACTTTTTAGCTATTGATCAAGCTTTCCAAGATGTTTAAGAGGAAAGTGCGAGACTGACGTGCTTTTGAACTAACGTGGTTGGCCTTTGGGGATAGAGATTACTTAAGCCTTAGGCCATGCTTGGGGCGTATACCTCTCACTCAGACAGTCTTTGTATATTTAAGCCGTAATCCAAGCAGTACATATCGTTCGGAGACTTTATGGCGCACTTTATTGTAATTTTCAAATTATATACCAAATTTTATACACAATTTTATGCCAAATTTTATACCAAAATTTTATACCAAATTTTATACCAAAATTTTATACCAAATTTTATACCAAAATTTTATAAAAAATTGTATACCAAATTTTATACAAAATTTTATACCAAATTTATACCAGATTTTATACTCAATTTTATACCAAATTTTAAACAAAAATTTTACACCAAATTTTATACAAGATTTTATACCAAATTCTATATCAAATTTTATACTAAATTTTATGCCAAATTGTATACCAAGTTAGGTGAAGTATATTCCGAGAATTTTTTAAGTTTAGCATACTAGCTAGCTCTACATGCACTTCTCTCTATAATAAATTATAAATGACTTCTTTATAATAACTAAAAGCTCTGTATCAAATTTTATCTATCGATGTGCTATAATTAAATTCCACAAGCAAAATTTTAAAGTTATTCTCATTATTATTGACCAATATATACACAACAATAACTTACAGTTACAGTTAACTATGTACCAGTACATGCACTCGCACTACAAAGTATCTCTCTCTCTCTCTCTCACTCTATTAAATTTTCGCTTCAGTCACCATTGCGAAAGTCATGGATGATGTTATTGATGAAGCGCTGCATTAACGACAGAGATTATTATTGATGAATGTGGGTCTCCAAGGATATATCAACGATGGAAATTCACAGCGCATATTTGTGGGGTTACCGAATGTATTGGTATTCGTCAAACGCTCGTAAAATCTGCAGGACTACCAGTAGGTATGAATTAAGTACGTGCAGTAAGGAATCAATGGTGGCTTGTCAGAAGATAAATAGCACGTCATCATTATCGCACGGCTGGTTAGGGTGTGTATTTTTTTATTTATTTTAAATATTTTCCTTTTTTAGGTGTTTAGGTTTTTGATTCATTAAAGCATAATTATAAGAAAATGCCTTCAATATGCTCCCAGGCCATGCTATTTTTGAATTTTCAGAACATTAAATTATATGAAATAATTAAATTTAATTAAAAACTAATGGTACATATTTTAATTTTTTTTTGCAGATAAGCAGTGCCTAACACACCGAGGCGTATACGTTACCTAAATGGTTTGTATGCAAATTGTATTATATTATTTATTCCGACCAATTTTATAGATATTTTCATTCTTTAACTCTAAGTTACATGAGAGATCGAATTTTAATTGTATTTTAGTAAAAAATTATCTGAGCTCTTAATTGTTTTTGCGGCCATACTACATATTAATTTTTGTTATAAGTATTGAGTAAACTGAAGGCCTGGTTTGTTTGTATGAATTGAATATTTTGTTATACAACAAAGAAAAATGATAGAACTGACAGCTGTTTCATTCTTTATTAACCAACAACTATTAGTTCTAATTTTCTTCCAAATTCAAAATTTCAAGTTTAATCTCCAATCTAATACATTAAAATGAATTATTTCATGATGAACCAAGCGCAAAAAGAACGTTGTGTATGAAGCAAGCAGAATAAGTTAATTATGCGCAACTTAACGTACTATCCGACTTGCAGCTGTAGTTCCTTGTAAGATTGTTGCGGCTTTTGAGTGCATTCGCTACTTCAATTAAAAAAATGTATGAAATAATAAAGCTTTATGCAGTCTTATCTGCTCAAGAATTGTCACAGACACAGATCGACGTGCACGAAAAGCAAAGGAATATAATTAATGCGTAGCATTATGTAAGACTGAAAAATTGCAGCGAGTAATAAAGAAGTGTAATTTAAATTGCAGTTGCTTTTCATGGAAATGATTTTCTTGATTGAGTATGTGAGCTTCTCTTTGGTTATAAAAAAATTCCTTTAATAACATTATATATCGAGTTTATATTCAAAATTATAGAATATTAATTAAATGAATATTAATTTTACATTAGCCTTAATCAGAAATATCTAAATACCCGGAGGTACCGTTATGCATTTATGACCGGATCACTCCTTCATCTCTTCTGTTCGCTTTTTGGCGCCAGCTGAAAATATCAAGTGAAACCAGGTCTCTCGCCATCTGATTCCTCTCTTTCCTCAAGCTGGCACTGTGTCGAACAGCCTCTTCTATGCTTTGAAGGTTGAACTGCACTCATCCGTCGGGTAACCACTGACTCTCGATTTACTAATCTATGTAAATATTATCAAATATATTGTATTTCTAATTGCCGAAGTCGATAAGCCTCGAACCATTTGTCGAGGTAGTGTGGGCTGAGTTTTACGAGAGTTGTTCTGTGCTAGTCCTGGCTGCCAAGCACAACTTTGCTATTGTGGTTATAAGTATGCTTCAAACGCTCATAAAACAGCCCTGGCAACAAAGTCTTTCTCTTCCGTCGTAGGATGGGCACAAATCAGCGATGTGTTGGAAAATTACGTTTTGACGTTTATCCACCGACATTAAGTGCGTCCTCATTTATATAGCCTCTCTAGTATATTCCTTATGACCCACCTAATTCCGTCCTTGTCCCGTCCATCGCACTTTTTGGACGGTGGTGATGTCCGTCTTTAATCTTTCGAAGACACCAACTAGCTGCGCAACGGCACCGGCACCTGCCCAATTAATAGAATGTACATTTCTAGTTGCACACTAACCTATTTGAAGATGTTGGCAGTGGTCGTCATCAAAAAGAGATATCTCAACCGGAGGCTTTTGATATTTTTGTTGAAGTATGTGGTTCACATGGTGGGTTCCGGTGGGTTAAAACCTAATTGCAAGCGGAATTCGCCTTGTTAATTTAGCTCGCCTTCAAACTGATGTTTGTTGGCTACACGGCATCCTCCGTGTTGGTTTAGGGCTAGAAGTCATAAGCTGCTTAGATTATACGTAAAAGAATAGTTTGGGTTCACTCCCTGGCTAGCGTGAACTTCTTTCTACATATGGTCCCAACCTCCAGATATTGTCCTTTTAAAATTTATACCGATCGGGCGAGAATGACGAGTTGAGTTGATTAGCCATGCTCGTTTGCCCATCTATTCGTCTGTTTGTCCCTAAAACTTAGACAATCTCCGACTGAACTTGGTACAGCGATACACTGGTACATTTAAACGATCATTTGTCGGAAGCGGTCAGGTCGGATCACTGTAATCTATATATTAACGATGTGTTCGGCTTGAGATTTTCGGTAGTTCGGTTTTTATTTAGAAGATGGCGTTATTGTCCATAGTACCAGTGTTACGTCCTACATCATGCCATACTATACAGCGCTGAAAACGTGTTTATTTGCGCTAAAAGTTTTTTTTTTTGACGATTTTTCGATTAATTGACTCCGCACGTTGTGAGCGCTCGTCAAAGATGGATACCAGCAAAGAGAAAATTCGCTATTTTTTACAATTTTCCTGCGATCAAGGTGAAAATCAGTCAAAGTGCCTGAAAAAATTAATTTAGTTTATGGGCCCGATACTGTAAACGAAGGTGTAGCCCAAAAGTGGTTTGCTAGGTTCCGTTCCGGTAATTTCAATGTCAAAGATGCACCACGCGTCGGGAGGGCTGTCGTCGAAAATTGTGATAAAATCATGGAAATAGTGGAATCAGACCGTCACGTGAGTACTTATTTAATTGCTGAGGAAATAAAGATAAGCCAAAAAACCATTTGGAACCATTGGCATAAACTTGGATTCAAAAAAATGCTCGATGTTTAGGTGCCACATGAACTATCGCAAAAAAATATGATGGACCGAATTTATGTCTGCGAATTGCTGTTGAATCGCATTAAAATCGACTCGTTTCTGAAGCGGATTGTGACTGGCGATGAAAAATGGGTAACTTACGATAACATCGAGCGCAAACGGTTGTGGTCAAAGCTCGGGGAAGTAGCCCAGATGGTGGCCAAGACCGGATTGAGGGTCAGAATTTTCAAGGAATCATCTGCTACGAGCTGCTTCCCTATGGCCAAACGCCCAATTTGGCCCTTTACTGTCAACAATTGATCGCAGCACTCATCAAGAAGAGGCCAACAGAAGCCAAATTGCTTTCCATCAGGCCAACGCCATACCACACACGTGTTTGGTGGCGCGCCAGAGGCTCGGATGGGAGGTCCTAATGCACCCACCTTATAGTGGGGACCTGACACCAAGTGATTACCATCTTTTCCTGTCCATGGCGAACGCACTTAATGCTGAAAAGTTGGTCTCAAGAGAGGCCTGTGTAAATTGACTCTCCGGGTTTTTTGCCAATAGGAACGCACCCTTCTACGAGAGGGGTATAATGAAGTTGGCATCTTGTTGGCAACAAGTTTACGATCAACCGGACACTTAGATAAAAACGTCTCACTTGGAAGTCTTGGCTAGTTTGAATTGGCTTTTAAATAAAAACTCCGGTCTAAAACTAGACTACAAAGTCCTTAAACCAAATGCATGTATGGTATTAAAATGTGGGGTACGACCTGTGCAACTAATATCGATAAAATACAGAGGGTTCCAGTCTAAAATTTGAAGAGCACTAACGGCGCACCATGGTACGCTTGTAACGTTAACATCCATCAAGACCTTGGTATTTTACTGGTTAAGCCTGAAATTGAAAGAAGCAGGACGAAGTAAGGAGAGCGCCGTAATTTGAAAAGGGCTCAGAGTTAAATAACACGAGCTATCATGTTTGTAATTTAGTTTTTAAGATTTGTACACTTACTGTTAGGCTTATATTATAACAGATCCAGTAAGTAAATGAATTCTGTATAAAAAAAATCGGACAAATGTACACAAAGTTATCATATTTTGAAAAATCAACAAAAAACCAAACGAAATTTTTACTTGGCCAATATTGTAAGCAGAGTTCATTTGAAATGTCAACGGAGATATCAAAGTGCAGTTTTATTCCCAATCCAGTACTGCCATTGGCTTAACTAAAAAAAAAACCTTTAGATCTGCCCTGGCCTTTAGTATTCTGCTCTTTGGGTAATTTAACATATTCCATATATATATATATATATATATATATATTGGGATGACGCCCGCGAAAAATTCAAGTTTTGGCATATCGAATTAGAATGAGAAATTCCTGCTAGGAACAGATACTACAATTAAACTTCCGCGAACTCTTTAACCGGATATATTGGATTGTCGTCACTGAAGCTCCCTTCCTTAGCCATGAGTTTAGACTTCGCACGGGTTGGCTATCGTCTCTTGCGCAAGTGCTGCTCACATTTCCAGGGTGTGCGATGTGAATACAAGAGTAAGAGTTGAGTAAAGTGTCCGTGTTGATAGTTATAACTTTGAAATCGTTGATAATTTCCCCAGGTGGAGAAGTACTTGACTGCACTTTGTATTTCTAATTGACGTTGAGAAGAAACCGTTGGCGAGTTATTGTTAACTCGGCTATAAAGCTGTAGTAGCGTCGACGACAGTAAAAAAGAAGAAGAAGGTAAATAAATGATCGGGGATAGTGATTGCCTTTAGGGCTCGGTAGTTATTCCTGTAAGATCTCCAGGACAAGATGTATTTATTGTCCTACATAAATACATATGATATAATCAAAAAATGGGTAGTGAGTTCAAAAATATCAATCAACATAGAAAATAAAAAATTTATTTATTTCTAATAAAAACTTACACCCTGAGCACACGCATTCTTTTTAAGAAATTATTTTCGAAAATCCATAAGGCAATATCTTTGTAAAATGAGTTAAGAAAATAATTATTTTAAATCATTAACAAAACCCGTGGAGAGCATAATGAAGTAAATTAAATAATGCTTAAGGAATAGGGGGAGTATTATATATACACTCGAATATATATATATAATGTATTTTCTCGTGATTAGTTAATTCTCTTTATACAAAAAACCTGTGACAAGTTCTCAGAAAACGACAAATGCTAATCTCCTTAATTGATCTTGGCCATCGCTGCATTTGACATGCCATACGCCTGTGTGTTGCTACAAATACAATACTTCAAATATCGCTAGTCATTTCACAAACATAAATCACATTGGAAATGTGGTAAATAAGCAACATCAGCGGCAATATTTGCCAATTGGCACACTCGCTATGCCAACAAAGACACAACGAAGCTGAGGAGACATAAGCAGTTGCCAACATTTATCATTTCCAGATGATTTTCAAAGTGTTTGTTTGTATGCACATATATAAATGTATGGTTATCCATTTTGTGGTTTCAAAAGTAAAGGACAGTCAAACCAAATATGTTTTGTTTTGGTTTTTGGTGCACAAAATCGTCCAACTTATCAGACATTGAAAAAATTTAAAGAAATTTATAGAAACTGGATTGG